AACTACATCATTAAGGCCAGTGTCCCTCATGTATGTAATTCTATGTCATAAGTTCAGTTAACTCTAAGCTATGAACAGTAAGTTTTGGCCTATTTATGAGAAAATGCATATCTGAAACTTAATCAAAGGAAAGTGCCCTTTTTCAAAGAATATAAACACTCGTGTTAGATGGTACAAAAACTTCATATCATCCCTCCATCCTGATTTATGGAGGATCTCTTCTGTTCCATTAACAAACTGTGCCTTTAGTTCTTCATAATTCTTCATCAGTTGGGATACAATTGGATACTCGATGTTTGGAGAACTGGTTTTAGCACCAAAATTCTCGTCCATTACCCAACGGAGAATCCTGTCCAGAATGTGATGCTGACAACTGATAATTTGTGGTTTGCTAATCCCTTTCTCTGAGAACATTCATTGTAGTTTGGCAACAGCTCCACTCTTTTTCCCTGTGTTAACGTTAGGCTATACCTGTAAATATATTGTCAGACAAGCGGTGCTCACTGATGCACTCCTCTGTGAAATACAGTGAGAAAATTGTGACAACAATAGTAGATGCCAGTATATAACATTGCCATATAGTAATTTTCTGAGTTGCTACTTATGATTAGTAACACAAATATTTTTTGTTTTTTTTTAACACACCGGCCGTATCCCACCGAGGCGGGGTGGCCCAAAAGGAAAAACAAAAGTTTCTCCTTTTACATTTAGTAATATATACAGGAGAAGGGGTTACTAGCCCCTTGCTCCTGGCATTTTAGTTGCATCTTACAACACACATGGCTTACGGAGGAAGAATTCTGTTCCACTTCCCAATGGAGATAAGAGGAAATAAACAAGAACAAGAACTAGTAAGAAAATAGAAGAAAACCCAGAGGGGTGTGTATATATATATGCTTGTACATGTATGTGTAGTGTGACCTAAGTGTAAGTAGAAGTAGCAAGACGTACCTGAAACCTTGTGTGTTTGTGAGACAGAAAAATGGACACCAGCAATCCTACCATCATGCAAAACAATTACAGGCTTTCATTTTACACTCACTTGGCAGGACGGTAGTACCTCCCTGGGCGGTTGCTGTCTACCAACCTACTACCTAGCAATGTAAATATTTTTTTTTTTTTTTCAACAAACCGGCCGTATCCCACCAAGGCAGGGTGGCCCAAAAAGAAAAACGAAAGTTTCTCTTTTTAAATTTAGTAATTTATACGGGAGAAGGGGTTACTAGCCCCTTGCTCCTGGCATTTTAGTCGCCTCTTACAACACGCATGGCTTATGGAGGAAGAATTCTGTTCCACTTCCCCATGGAGATAAGAGGAAATAAACAACAACAAGAACTAGAAAGAAAATAGAAGAAAACCCAGAGGGATGTGTATATATACATATATATGCTTGTACATGCATGTGTAGTGTGACCTAAGTGTAAGTAGAAGTAGCAAGACATACCTGAAATCTTGCATGTTTATAAGACAGAAAAAAAGGACACCAGCAATCCTACCATCATGTAAAACAATTACAGGCTTTCGTTTTACACTCACTTGGCAGGACGGTAGTACCTCCCTGGGCGGTTGCTGTCTACCAACCTACTACCTATATGTAAATATATGATGATTAATAATTTTCATTAATTTGAGTTGCTAATTAATACTTTCCTGAGTTGCTACTAATGAGTAGTAATGCAGATATATTGTGATTCATAGTTTTTATTTAGGGGTGACTTATTTTGAAAACTCTGACCCTATTTATTGTTTAACCCTTTTGGGTGGGTCCCGTTGTACTTTGGTATTGAAACCCAGGTTGGTCCTGTTCCATACACAAATAACCCGCACATAAAAGAGAGAAGCTTACGGCGACGTTTCGGTCCGACTTGGACCATTGACAAAGTCACACTAACCAGAAGTGGAGCAGGACGGCTATATATAGGCAGGAAGAGGTGGTGGTAGTAGTAGTACAAGAATGGTATATAATACCGACAAGATGAAATTAAGACACATGCGCAACACCCAGGCATCCCTATCGTAGACGTTTCGCCATCCGCCAGCCACTGGATGGCGAAACGTCCACAACAAAGACAACCAGATGCCGCACCTGTGTCTTAATTTCATCAGTAATTGTAGTAGTAGTAGTAGAAGAGGTAGTAGTAGTGGTAGTGGTAGAAGTGGGAAATAAGGAGGATGAGCCAGTCAAAAACAAAGGAAGGGGAGCACTGCAAGAGAGCTAGGTGCCCACTGAGGGAGAGCAAGCGCACAGAGGTGCGTGAAAGGGGAAGTGGTGAAATAAATGAAGAAGGAACAGAAACACGAGACAGAAGAGAGAAAGACAACCCAGAGGAGAAAAGGAAAGAGGAAAGGGGAAGAGGGAGAAGAAAAAGAAAAAATGAGGAGCCAGGTTAAGTCACGGGTGTTATGAAGTTTGGAGCATTTTACAATGTAGTGGGAGAGGAAGGCATCTACAGAGACGAAGCCAGGGCTAAGGTTCATACAAGGAAAGTTGTGTATTAGAGAGGATTCAACTAGACGGTGACTGTTCGAGTTGGAAGTAGGGAAGGACAGTTTTAGCAGAAGACCAGTCAATAGGATGGCTATGATCTCTGACGTGACAGAAAAGAGCATTGTTAGTGTCGGCAAGCCTAACACTATTTTTGTGCTCCCTAAGTGTATCGTTCCAGTCACGGTATTGTGCCTTTTTTGTTATTTTTGGTCCTGTTCTATGTGATGAGCTCAGCTTTCTCAAATAAGCAGTGAGTGGTAAATTTGTACCTAGATATGAGAGAATGGGTCTGTGTGGTAAGTGTGCACCATATAAAAAAGAAAATCCTGCAGCAAGCAGTGCATTATTGTAAAAAAAACTGCGACTCTGTTTTTGGTCAAAACAGCAACTTTGTTGTGTATTTTCATAGGGTTTATATGACTATTTTCATAGGGTTTATATGGCTGTAGTCTCATTTTCTTGGTCTCATTTGATAGAATGGTAAATATATTACAAAAATAGAGATGATTTTGATTGGTTTCATTAATGAAAGTAGCCTGAAACTGACCTCAGAGTTGTGGAAATGTTTAATTTTTACCGATATTCCAGAGTACACAAATGACATCACTTGTCTAGTACCGGTCCAACTGGTCAGTCTAATACATGTTCACAAATGTGCTGACATTATGTATACAATTATTACAATAAATGCAGTAGTCTGCATAATAATTTTCTATTTTTTTTTTGTGTGAATAAAAATTCAAAATGGAAAGCAAGCGCAATATAAGAGAAGCTTGGGGACGTAGCTAATGAACAGAAGAAATGCTTTTTTATTACAGGTTGGCCATCACTAATCCAGCATCATTGAGACCTGTAGTGTGCTGGAATAGTGAGTTTGCCGGATTACAGAGTGGTTAGGTTAAATATACTTAATTAACCTATCAATAGAGACTCTTTCTGCTACATCTTCCTCATTTTCATCACTGCTTTCTCCTCCACTGGCTAGCTGCTATGGGTTTACAACCATCTGCACAATTTCCAAGTCAGTATAACGATGAAATTTGAAATTATGCTAGCCGAAATTAGTGCCAGATTACTGATGGAACCGGATAACTGATTGTTGGATTAGTGGTGGCATGCTAGCCGAAATTAGTGCCGTATTACTGATTGCCAGATTAGTGATGGCTGATCTGTACCAGGAAAGTCTACATTGTTTATTTTGGACCCTGTTTTTAAATTGGCAGTTTTTTAATTTTGTGTGAAATTGTCCAAATTACCAATTTCCGATGACTTTATTGGGTAGTTGAAATAGGTAAATTAGCAGTTTCTTGTACTCAGTCATTAGAATAGAAGGATTATTAATGAAAAAGCTATGAGTTTGGTCAACTGGAGCAATGGAATTGGCCAAAATTAGTGCTTAATGTCAGCAAAATCGCTGATGCATAAATATCAGAGACTGCTACCTTCATGAGAGCATAATTTTGTAAGTTTTCCAACAAATTTTGTACTTTTGGTTTCATTATCTTTGGAAAAAGATTCTATCATTTCATAAAAAATATAATATATATTTTTTATTTTCCTACCTTGAGAGCAAGTTTCAGATCGGGGTTTCCGACCCTCAAATGGTTAAAAAAAGTGACTTTCAGGTGTCTTCTCAGATGGTTTTATGGCTTTATCCACTGTTTCTTGGTATCATTTGGTAAAATAGTAGTAGTAGTCTTAAAATAGAGATTATTTTGGTTGGTTTCAGGAGCAGAAGTAGCTTGAAATATAGATTAAACCCAGTGAAAGGCAGGGGAGTGATGGGTACAATAGGAGAACAGTGTTTCACTGTCTATGGTTTTAAGACTTTGTAACGTTTTACCAGAAGATACCAGAAACACTACTTGACTAAGTTTAGCCAAACCATCCAACCTGTGATGGATATGTGGACCAGTGGGCTGCTGCCAGCAACAGCCAAGTTGATCAGGCAAGCACTAGACAGTCTGGCCCAGAGCTGGGCTGTGGGATTACAAAAAATCTCTAATCAAATCAAAGATATATTAAAGGTAAAGTTAGGTGATTGTAAAGGTATTGGGCAGATTATATAAACTCAAAGGTGACTTTTATCTCTAGTGCAGGTAATAGTCAGTGATATTTGTACATGTATTGTATAAGCAAGAGTGGTATTGACTGGAATTCTTTTGGTGGTTAGGAAGTGTGAAGGTTATACCATAGTGTCAACAACAGCCTTCCCCAGGCATTAAAAATTATAGGTCATACATTCTATTAGGTAGTAAAAGGCATTGGTGATGGCCATGCAAGGAAACCCCCTCTACATCTTTCAAGATTAGTAAGCAATGACCTTTACAATATTGGATATAAAAATCTTTAATGATTTATTGTTTTTTTTGGGTGTCATGAGCTCTTATTTTTTCTCATTTGTTTCACAATATGCATCATGAAATTTCATGTAGAGTTGATTTCTGGAACGTAATCCCCGTGATATATGAGAGCTAACTGTATATTAATTTTATTTGTCTTATAATTTCAGCCGAGTCAGAAAAGAAGGCGAGTGATGTGACGTTTTATCTGGCACGAGAAATTAAGCGTTCAAGAGTTGGCATAAAGGTTTGTTAAGCTTAGTTAAAGACTGTTTAATACATTTTTAGTATTTCATAATCCATGAACTCTTGGCTACAATATGCAGAGCTTTATACTCTATACTTTTAATTGGAATTCATATTTTTTAAATAAAGTCTTCCAGAAATGGTATCAAGTACATCTTATAAATGGAGATAGACTATTAAGGTTCATCACAATATTGTAACTACATGTATATCATTACATCTGGATATCTTAGTTTTTAAAGGAACTACAAGTTTTAATACAATATACAGTACATAAAATGTTCATTTTTTAGCTTGCCAGCTGTGTCCCACCCAGGTAGGGTGACCCGAAAAGAAAGAAACACTTATGCCATCATTCATTCCATCACCGTCTTGCCAGAGGCATTCTGACATTGCAATTTAGATGCCCCTCCAAACTGCACTATCCCCACTCCTCCAAACTGCACTATCCCCATTCCTCCTTTAGAGTGCAGACACTGTACTTCCCACCTCCCACACTCATGTCTGGTTAGCCAGGTTCCCTGAATTCCTTCATAAATGTTACATTGCTTTCACTTCAACAGCACATCATAAAAAACACTTGCCTCCACTCATTTCTTTCTAATACTCATTTACACTTCTTGGATATACAAGCCCCTAATATACAAAAACCTTCTTTACCCATTCCCTCCTACCTTTCCTAGGATGACCCCTACTTCTCCTTACCTTTACTGCAGATTTATACACCCTATTTTGCTCCATTATCTCTAAATATCCAGACAGCCTCAATAACGCCTTCTCAGCTCTCTGCATAATACTTTACCACACACCTCCTTCTAATCTCCAAATTACAAATTCTCTGCATAATATTCACACTAACATTGCCCTCAGACACAACATCTGCATTGCCTTTAGCCTCTTCCTCGCTGCAGCATTTTAAACTTATGCTTCACACCCATATAAGAGTGTTGGTATCACTATACAGTGGAACCTCAAATATCGAACTTTCTTTGGTCCAGAAGTCTGTTCGAGTGCCTTTACCGAATGAATTTATTCCCATCAGGAATAATGTAAATTAGATTAGTCCATTTCAGACCCTTAAAAATACACTTATAAAAGCACTTACAAAAATACACTTACATAATTGGTTGTGTTGGGAGCAGTTCGATTTTTGAGGTTCCACTGTACATTGATACATTCTTCTTTTTGCCTCCCTGGAAAATGTTCATTGTCTCCACAGATGTGATCCTCTCTGTCGTACCCTTAATTCTTTCAATAATAACTCTTATCATACACTTTATTTGGTTTACTCAACAGGCATATTTCCTTATAACTTCATGCCCTATAACTGCATGCCCTCTGCCAGTTCCAAGGCACCTTTCCCCTTTCATTCATTTATTGAACAAATGCATCAACCATTTCAAAAGTTCTTAATCCTCTTTTAACAAACCAGCCGTATCCCACCGAAGCAGGGCAGCCCAAAAATAAAAAAGTTTTTCTTTTTAACTTCAGTAATGTAATAAAGTTGGTAGAATTACCGACAATATGTAAAGTAAAAGGACACAAGTGCAACTAATGTGACATTTATTGTGGCAACGTTTCGCTCTCCAGGAGCTTTATCAAGCCATTACAAACAATACATGGACACAGAGGGTATATAAAGGCTCAGAGTGAGGTGTAATACTAGTGAGGTACCATTTCGATGTTCACTAGTGGTAGTAGTAGTGGTAGTGACAAAAGTAATACAATATGGTAGAGCAATTAATTCGTACATGAGTAAAAGGATATAAAAGCTATTACTTGGGTAACATAAAAATGGGTTTGGGAAACAAATATAGAGTGGAATGAGGCAGCTTGTTTCAGTGTTCACTCTCATGTGCTTTGTGTAGTATAACAGGAGAGACTATGTGATGGCAGGGTTTACTGTTTTCAGGAGGATTCTTGCTAAGACTTCGGAGATGGTGAAGCTGCCGTTGTTTTGTTTAATTGTATTCAAAACAGCGATCAGTGCTGATTCGAGGCACTTGCGTCTGCGGAAATTAGTTTCTTTGATCACTAATTGGGCGTCTGTGAATTTCATGAGATGATTGGTGGAATTTCGGTGTTGTACACAGGCGTTGTTCAAGTTAGCGTTCCTACATGCGTAAATGTGTTCATTGAGGCGGGTGTCGAGGTTTCTGGCTGTTTCACCTACGTAAATCTTGTCACATCCTCCACAGGGTATAGTGTAATAGCTTTTATATTATAGTAATAGCTTTTATATCCTTTTACTCATGTACGAATTAATTGCTCTACCCTATTGTATTACTTTTGTCACTACCACTACTACTACTACTACTACTACCACTAGTGAACATCGAAATGGTACCTCACTAGTATTACACCTCACTCTGAGTCTTTATATACCCTCTGTGTCCATGTATTGTTTGTAATGGCTTGATAAAGCTCCTGGAGAGCGAAACGTTGCCACAATAAATGTCACATTAGTTGCACTTGTGTTCTTTAACTTCAGTAATGTATACAGTAGAAGGGGTTACTAGCCCCTTGCTTAGTCACCTCTTATGACATGCATGGCTTATGGAGGAAGAATTCTGTTCCACTTTCCCATGGAGATGAAAGGAAATAAACAAGAATAAGAACTAGTAGGAAAATAGAAGGAAATCCAGAGGGGGTTGTGTATATATGTGCTTGTGCATGCATGTGTAGTGTGACTTAAGTGTAAGTAGAAGTAGTAAGACATACCTGAAATCTTGCATGTTTATGAGACAGAAAAGACACCAGCAATCCTACCGTCATGTAAAACAATTACAGGCTTTCATTTTACACTCGCTTGGCAGGACGGTAGTACCTCTATGGGTGGTTGCTGTTTTCCAACTATCTAGCACTCCAAAACTGTATACAGTAAATCTTTCTTTCAACACACTGGCTGTATCCCACAGAGGCAGGGTGGCCCAAAAGGAAAAACGAAAGTTTCTCCTTTTACATTTAGTAATATATACAGAAGGGGTTACTAGCCCCTTGCTCCCGGCATTTTAGTAGCCTCTTACAACACGCATGGCTTACGGAGGAAGAATTCTGTTCCACTTCCCCATGGAGGTAAGAGGAAATAAACAAGAACAAGAACTAGAAAGAAAATAGAAGAAAACCCAAAGGGGTGTGTATATATATGCTTGTACATGTATGTGTAGTGTGACCTAAGTGTAAGTAGAAGTAGCAAGACGTACCTGAAATCTTGCATGTGTATGAGACAGAAAAAGAAGACACCAGCAATCCTACCATCGTGTAAAACAATTACAGGCTTCAGTTTTACGCTCACCTGGCAGGACGGTAGTACCTCCCTGGGCGGTTGCTGTCTACCAACCTACTACCTATATACAGTAAATATATACAGGAAAACCTTATTTTTCACGTTGATACTTCATTGTGTTTTCCAATATAAAAAAAATGCAGATGCTAAATTTTGACCATTATTTGAATTCTGTAGTCTATATATTACTGTAAGAACAATAGAGTATATGGAGAGTAAAAGAAAGGTAAAGAGAGCAGTGAGAGAGTGCAAAAGGAGAGCAGATGTTAGAGTAGGAGAGGCACTGCCAAGAAATTTTAATGAAAATAAGAAAAAATTTTGGAGTGAGTCAAACAAGTTAAGAAAGCCTAGAGAATGAATGGATTTGTCAGTTAAAAACAGAGTTGGGGAGTTAGTAGATGGGGAGATGGAGGTTTTGGGTAGATGGCGAGAATATTTTGAGGAACTTTTAAATATCGACGAAGAAAGGGAAGCGGTAATTTCATCCACTGGCCAGGGAGGTATACCATCTTTTAGGAGTGAAGAACAGGGTGTGAGTGTGGGGGAGGTGTGTTAGGCATTACGTAGAATGAAAGGGGGTAAAGCAGCTGGAACTGATGGGATCATGACAGAAATGTTAAAAGCAGGGGGGATATACTGTTGGAGTGGTTGGTATTTTTGTTTAATAAATGTATGAAAGAAGGGAAGGTACCTACGGATTGGTGGAGAGCATTGTATAGTCCCTTTATATAAAGGGAATGGGGACAAAAGAGATTGTAAAAATTATAGAGGAATAAGTTTACTGAGTATACCAGAATGTAGGATTGTGGATGAGCAAGGAGGTTTTAGAGTGGGTAGGGGATGTGTAGATCAAGTGTTTACATTAAAGCATATATGTGAACAGTATTTAGATAAAGGTAGGGAAGCTTTTATTACATTTATGGATTTAGAAAAGGCATATGATAGAGTGGATATGGGAGCAATGTGGCAGATGTTGCAAGTATATGGAATAGGTGGTAAGTTACTAAATGTTGTAAAGAGTTTTTATGAAGATAGTGAGGCTCAGATTAGGGTGTGTAGAAGCTAGGGAGACTACTTTTCAGTAAAAGTAGGTCTTAGACAGGGATATGTAATGTCACCATGGTTGTTTAATATATTTATAGATGGGGTTGTAAAAGAAGTAATTGCTAGGGTGTTCGGGAGAGGGGTGGGATTAAATTATGGGGAATAAAATACAAAATGGGAATTGATACAGTTGCTTTTTACTGATGATACTGTGCTTATGGGAGATTCTAAAGGAAAATTGCAAAGGTTAGTGGATGAGTTTGGGAGTGTGTGTAAAGGTAGAAAGTTGAAAGTGAACATAGAAAAGAGTAAGGTGATGAGGTATCAAATGATTTAGATAAAGAAAAATTGGATATCATATTGGGGAGGAGTATGGAAGAAGTGAATGTTTTCAGATACTTGGGAGTTGACGTGTCGGTGGATGGATTTATGAAGGATGAGGTTAATCATAGAATTGACGAAGGAAGAAAGGTGAGTGGTGCGTTGAGGTATATGTGGAGACAAAAAAACGTTATCTATGGAGGCAAAGAAGAGAATGTATGAAAGTATAGCAGTACCAACACTCTTATATGGGTGTGAAGCTTGGGTTGTGAATGCAGCAGCAAGGAGGCGGTTGGAGGCAGTGGAGATGTCCTGTCTAAGGGCAATGTGTGGTGTAAATATTATGCAGAAAATTCGGAGTGTGGAAATTAGGAGAAGGTGTGGAGTTAATGTAAGTATTAGTCAGAGGGCTGAAGAGGGGTTGTTGAGGTGGTTTGGTCATTTAGAGAGAATGGATCAAAGTAGAATGACATGGAGAGCATTTAAATCTGTAGGAGAAGGAAGGCGGGGTAGGGGTCATCCTCGGAAAGGTTGGAAGGAAGGGGTAAGGGAGGTTTTGTGGGTGAGGGGCTTGGACTTCCAGCAGGGGTGCATGAGCGTGTTTGATAGGAGTGAATGGAAACAAATGGTATTTGGGACCTGACGATCTGTTGGAGTGTGAGCAGGGTAATATTTAGTGAAGGGATTCAGGGAAACGTTATTTTTAAATAGCCGGACTTGAGTTCTGGAAATGGGAAGTACAATGCCTGCACTCTAAAGGAAGGGTTTCGGGATATTAGCAGTTTGGAGGGATATGTTGTGTATCTTTATACATATATGCTTCTAAACCGTTGTGTTCTGAGCACTTCTGCAAAAACAGTGATTATGTGTGAGTGAGGTGAAAGTGTTGAATGATGATGAAAGGTTAGTAGAGAACAACCACCCAGGGAGGTGGTTGTTCTCTACTACCATCCTGCCAAGTGAGTGTAAAACAGAAGCCTGTAATTGTTTTACATGATGGTAGGATTGCTGGTGTCTTTTGTCTGTCTCATAAATATGCAAAATTATAGGTACGTCTCGCTTCTTCTACTTACACTTAGGTCACACTGCACATGCATATACAGTGGGCCCCTGGTTATCGGCTGGTTTGGTTATCGGCCAACTCGCTTATCAGCGGGTTTTTCTGTGCCCGGTTATCAGCCGTTTTGGACGCGTTCATCCACCGGCTGGGGCAGCTTGCACTTAAGTTTGGCTTTGTCTCTCGGTGGCTGAGGAAGCTTCTGCTCATGCATTAAAACATTTCACTTGTTTACCATTGTTTTTAGTGGGTTTTCCGTGCAACTGTGAAATAAGTAAAGATGGCTCCAAAGAAAGTGAGAAACGCCATGGAATTTAAGCGTGAAGTGATAGAAAAGTTTACCTAGTATGGGCCAACAGGCCTGCTGCAGTGTTCCTCCATTCTTATGTATCTTATGTTCTTATGTATGAAGGTGGTGGAACTTGCTAGGATGTACAGCAAGAATAAATCAACAATTACATCCATCCTGGCAAAGAAAGAACAAATCAAAGATGCTAATGTTGCAAAAGGAGTAACTTTTCTAACTAAACAAAGGCCACCAATAATGGAAGAGATAGAAAAGTTATTATTATTGTGGATTAAGCAAAAAGAATTAGTGGGAGACAGTGTTGTGGAGTCAATCATTTGTGAGAAGGCAAAGCGGTTGCATGAGGATCTTGCAAAGAAAATGCCTGGAACAAGTGCTGCAGTTTGTGAATTTAGGGCCAGCTAAGGATGGTTTGATATACTATTTAAGAAGCGATAGTGGCATACACAGTGTTGTAAGGCATGGTGAGGCTGCAAGTTCTGACAAATGTGCAGCTGAAAATTATGTTCACGAATTCCAGGTCTATGTACAGGCTGAATGATTCGAACCCCAACAAGTGTTCAGTTGTGATGAAACAGGCCTGTTTTGGAAGAAAATGCCAAACAAGACCACATTACCCAGGAGGAAAAGGCACTGCCAGGGCACAAGCCTGTGAAAGACAGGCTTACTCTTTTGTTGTGTGGTAATGCCAGTGGAGATTTCAAAGTGAAGCCTTTACTTGTGTATCACTCAGAAAATCCCAGAGTGTTCAAGAAAAACAATGTCATGAAGAATAGATTGTGTGTGATGTGGAAAGCTAATCATAATTCAAGGGTCACAAGGCAAATTTTCAAAGAGTGAGTTAATGATGTGTTTGGCCCAAGTGTGAAAAAATACCTCCTGGAAAAGAAATTGCCACTCAAGTGCCTCCTGGTACTGGACAGTGCTCCTGCACATCCTCGAGACTTGCAAGACCAAGTATTTAGGGACTTTAGTTTCATCACAGTGAAGTTCTTGCCTACTAACATCACTCCTCTTCTCCAGCCCATGGACCAGCAGGTCATTTCTAACTTCAGAAAACTCTACACAAAAGCAGTGTTTCAAAAGTGCTTTGAAGTGACCTCGGACACTCAGTTGACCCAAGAGAGTTCTGGAGGAATCACTTCACTATCCTCCATTGCATAAGCCTTATAGGTAAGGCTTGGGAGGGAGTGACTTTGAACTCTGCATGGAGAAAATTGTGGCCAGATTGTGTCCAAGAGAGGGATTTTGAAAGGTTTGATGGTACTAGGGAAGTCCCTGGGGTTGGAGGTGAGTGACAAGGATGTGGAAGAGTTGGTGGAGGACCACAGGGAAGAGCTTACCATTGAAGAGCTGCAAGAGCTTCAACTTGAACAGCAACAGAATGCAGCTGAGGAACTTGCTTCAGAGGAGGAGGAAGAGGTATCAAGTATCAAGTTTATTAAGAGGTATCAAGTCGTTTTCCGGGGTTACTTCCCTTCTTTTAATGCCACTAGGACTAGCTTGAGAGTCACTGGACCTCTGTGCACAACAAATCTGTCCATAGAGCTCTGTACCTCCCGTTCCTTTAAGATTTGCCTAGAATGGGCCAACCTTGTCATTGTAATAGTCACCAGCACGGCTTGCAATGGCTGTGCTAGGGTGCTTTTCATCCATAAAGATTTGCAGTGCAACCCACTTTGTACACATTTCCTTAATCTTTGAAGTAGGCACAATGTATTCCACAACCGGCAGGCTTTTCAGGGTTAGCCCCAAACCATTCAAAATCCTTCTTAATTTCCATACTAATTCTCACCCTTTTTACCAAAGGGTTGGCATTAGAAGCTTTCTTGGGGCCCATGGTGACTTATTTTGCAGTTACAAGCACAAAAAACACTGGAATAAAGTGAAATGTACCGAATGTATGCGTGGATGCGACCGCACTGGCTGGCTTGTAAACACTGGCACTGAGGCCACATGTGGGACGTGTCCCGGATGAATCGCGTGAGGCGAGTTTTTTAGCGTGAGGCGAGGCAAAATTTTTGCGTTAAAATGTATTGTATGGCGGATTTAACCTAACACAATGCCATCGTAAGGCGGGGGTCCGCTGTATATACACATCCTTTCGGGTTTTCTTCTATTTTTCTTACTAGTTCTTGTTCTTATTTATTTCCACTTATCTTCATGGGGAAGTGGAACAGAATTCTTCCTCTGTAAGCCATGCTTGTTGTAAGAGGCAACTAAAATGCCAGGAGCAAGGGGCTAGTAACCCCTTCTCCTGTATATACATATTACTAAATGTAGAAGGAGAAACTTCGTTTTTCTTTTTGGGCCACCCCAACTAGGTGGGATACGACCAGTGCATTGAATGAAAAGAAAGAAGTTTGTTAGTTAAACAGCACTGACTTGCATCATAGTTGATGTATGTTACAAATTAGCATTGCGTGTATAGGTAGAATATTCATGTTTGTTTTCGAATTTCTAACAAATTTTATCAATGTACAAAATGTACCAGCAGTTGTCTATATTTTACATTTTCATTACAAGTCATTAAAAAAAAATTACAGATAGTTTTATTTAAGGATTTTATAAGGTATTTGGCTGATTGCTGTACTATTAATGTTGTTTTGAGATAGAAATGGTATTACTATATAGTATTATCTTTACAGGTTCAAGCTGTTGCGAGAGCACGTGTACCAATTGTGAAATTTCAAGACACCCAAACAGGACTGATGGTTGACCTCTCGTTCCGCCATGGGATGCCTGTATATAACACACAGCTCATATACCAGTATTCAATCTCACACCCCTTGGTTCGACCATACCTGATGCTTATCAGGTACTGGGCCAAAATCCAGGTGGGGTTTCTTGGGTATTTTTTCATATGAAATGTCGACATATATTTTGCTTACATTATATTTATAGTATTCCACTTATTCATTTAGAAAGTTTTTTCTAAAGCCCTATGCAAGGTTCAAAAATTTTGTTACATTTATATATCAAGAACTGTTGATGTGTGAAAATTGAATTGAGTAAATTATTTGCATATGCAGCCTCTCCTCACTTAACGACGGAGTTCTGTTCCTAAGATCACATTGTTAAACGAATTTGTCGCTAAGTGAATAGCATATTATAATGGTAGTGGGTTTGTGTTAACCATCTTTGATATTGTTTTAATGTCACCCTTACACCATTTATAAAATTTCTGGTATATTTTTAAATGTTTTTACAGTAGTGTACTGTATATTGGAAAAAAAACAGAATAGAGGAAATCAGCTCTAATATACATTATTCGGGTATAAATGCTGGTCAGAGAGCCCGTTGTAAGTCCGAGACGTTGGTAAATGAGTACGTCGCTAAGTGAGGAGAGGCTGTACAGTGCAACAAGTGGCTAATAACTCCTGTATAAATTACTAAATGTAAAAAGAAGAAAGCTTTAAGTTTCTTCTTTTTCAGGGTCACTCTGCCTTGGTGGGAGATGGCTGTTGTATTTAAAAAAAAAAGTGTAACAAGGGTTTATGATTCCAGTTAACATTAATCTGTCATGCTATCTAACATCCATCTTTGATGTCATCTAACATTTATATGTGCAACATTTGGATATCTTTTCTATGTAGATGTTTTGCCATCCAGTGGCTTTATCGATACAGTATATTACATGGACATCATCTGAAGACTGAAAATATGTACAGAAGACAGTAGAAGATGAGGTAATCAGTCCCTCAGCCTAGGAGCAAGTGATGAGCACTGTAGTCTTGAAAAATGTGAAGAATCAGATTCTTCTTGACTACAGTATTCATCACCTGCTCCTTGACTGAAAAACTGATTACTTCATCTTTTACTGTCGTCTGTATATGTATATTTCTACAGTCTTCAGATTATTCCCATGTATTGTATTGATAACGCCACTGGATAGCGAAACGTCTGCCAAGCAAAGATACCCAGATGTTGCACGTGTGTTTAATTCATCATCATGTTGGTATTGTCTACCATTGATATATAACATTCATAATGTGATACTGTATAACATTCATCTATGATGCTGTGCTCCTTAAAACAGAAAGCTTCCTTGTGCTCTGACTTTCTATTTTTTAAAATTTATCTGACATTTTTGAGATTGCCCAGTTCTTGTGGTGAATACATGTTCCCACATTCATTACAGATTGCGCTAGTGTATTTAGGATTATGTTCAAATAGTACACTTTTTATTCATGTGCAAATATTTTTTTAACGCAATGGCCATTTCCCGCCAAGGCAGGGTGACCCAAACAAGGAAGTTTATTCACCAAAATTCATTCAGTCACCATCTCTGCAGAAGTGTCGTGACATCACTGTCAGATTACCTCTTGGAGTGCAACATCTTGACCCCTCTTTCAGAGCCCAGGAACTGCCTTTCCCATCTCCAAAACTCAAGTCCAGCTAACTGATTTCCCTAAATCCCTTCATAAAAGTTACCCTGCTTATACTCCAAGAGTACATTCATTAAAACCCATTTGTCTAGATTCACTCTATTTACATCTGCTGAACTATTTACATCTCCCACACCATCTATATATATCCCTCAGTATCTACCTGTCTGTCTACCACACCATCTACAGTGTTACTGCTGGAGCTTTACAGCTCCACTGGCTCAGAATAAGTTATTCTGAGTCACCACTAGACCACATGGGAATGTTGTACTGTATTGTATATCTATATGCCTCTTTTTATTATTTTCCAACATGCTGGCTGTCTTCCACCATGGCAGGGTGACCCAAGAAAAGAAACACTTTCACTAGCATTCACGCTATCACTGTCTTTGCAAAGGTACCCAGATACGACAGTTTAGATAGATGTCACTCTAAACAGCAAATATCCCAAACTCCTTTAAAGTGCAGGCATTGTATTTCCAACCTCCAGGACTCAAGTCCAGTCGACTGGTTTCCTTGAATTCCTTCACAAAATTTCACCCTGCTCACACTGCAACAGCTTGTCAGGTCCCAAAAACCATTCGTCTCCACTACTATCTAACACACTCGCACGTGCCTGCTGTATATCCAAGCCCCTTGGACACACAACCTCTTTTATCCCCCTCCCTCCATCCTTTCCTAGGATGACCCCTTCTCCTCCTCCTATCCACTGCAGATTTATATACTCTCCAAGTCATCTTGTGCTCCATTCTCTCTGAATGACCAATTCACCTTAGCAACCCCTCCTCAGCCCTATGAATAATACTTTTAGTAACTCCAGCATTTCTTCTTATTTCCACAATGTGAATTCTCTGCATCTATTTACCAGAAAAGTTATGTAATAAAAATTTTTGTGCTGTACTCTTTTGGTCTATTTTATCAGACCTTTACTGTGCTGCAGACAGATCAAGTGAAAAAGTGTAAGGCTGTGTCACTGGTGGAAGACTCTACTAGTGGAAGTAGGCCATGCTTTTAGATTAGGCAGATGAAGAATTCCCTGTATCAAGATCCCAAGATGTTGCTGTGTCTGACAGTTTTTATATAAATAGTTTAGAAAGCTGACACGTCAGTGAATGAGACGCTTATGCAACGTTTGAGTCTCAGATAATCGAAAGACGGGACCTACTGTGTCATTTTGGAAATTAATTTTGTAGCTATACATTATTAGGGCATTGAGTTTTTTATATAGCCACATATCTTGTCATTAGGTGACATTTGGCTCAGGACACCCTGCTCTAAAGTTAGAAAATATGTACATATTGTAGATATGAATTGCATTAGTTTTGTAGATATGAATTGCATTAGTGGTTTTTTTTTTTGTCCTTTTCCTGATATTATTTCATATTTCTGTGTACTGAAGGTTCTCTCTCTTTTCTTCAGGGTGTGGCAGGTGGAGGGCAGCCAACGTTTCTCATAACTAATTATGCGCTGACCATGCTTATGCTTTTTTACCTTATGTCAAGAGACACTCCCATAATTCCATCTGTAGCACATCTCAAGAAGAATCACCCTACAAAGTTCGATAATGTTATCAGTGGCTGGGATTGTTCTTTTAGTCGAGATATGAGTGAATGGAGTAGAGTGAAACACAGTGTGACTGTTATGGAGCTAGTCACAGAGTTTTTTACTTACTATGGGAAGTTTGAAGCCTTCAAAATGGGTCATATGTCCACTGGCTGGAAAGCTGATTGATAAGAAGGCTCTCATAGATAGAGACTTGAATAGTCTTCCCCCATGCATGGTACGGTATTGTAGGCAAAATGTCAATATTCAGTTAAATACAGCACTGTGCCTACAAGATCCTTTTGAAAACAGTCATAACTGTACTAGGGGATTAAAAAATGGGCCTCTTGTAGAGTTTCAGTACAAGTGCCGTAAAAGTGCAGAAATCTGTGGGAATATACTGAGAGGAAAGCAGTCGTTGAGTGATTTTCTTAAACCAATCAAAATATCGCCAGAAGTACTTAAAGAAATATTCACAAATGACCCTGCTAAAGAAGTGGACCAGTCTATTGAGGAAATTATAACACTTGATGACTCTGATGATGCTTCACAGGATTCAGTTGAGGTTATAAATGTGTGTTCTGAAAAGAAGAGTAAAGCAAGTGTAAGCTTGAAATCCAACATTATCTCTCCATCATCAAAAGATTTTACCAAAATTGACAATGTGTCAGATGATGAGGAAGTAATTGTGGTAGTTTCTGGAAACACACGAGAAGTAACCACAAAAAGTGTAAAACATAGTACAGCATCTTCAGAAACGTCAGAAAATGGTGTTGGTAGTAGTAGGGAAGAAACTGATGAGGTGTCAGTGATATTGCCAGAAGGTGAACCAGAAAATAAACCTTATAAATTTTCACTAAATTTTTCTAAAATTCCTGAGTTTAGTATCACATTTGACGGTGCAGTGTCTGGTGGAAAGGATTTAATGACTGCTGCAGATGACATTGGGCAAGCTGCTTGTTCATTAGTTCATTTTGCCCTGCAACAATGCTTGAAAGTTGATGTGTCTGTTATTGAAGCCTTTGTAGGTGATAAAAAAAGGAAGTCCATTTCACAAGAAGAAAATTCTGACACAGGGAAACGCATAAAGGGAGCAGATGGAGAAAGTGTCCCAATAAGCACAAAGTATGGTAGGTTAGCACAGTACCATTGTGTAGCAGTCTCTCAACTGTGGGTGGGGAGAAAGCAAACTTCCAAAAAAGTTCCATGGATGAAGAATGTGACTCCCCTCCAGTTTGAGCTTGCTGTCACAGATGCTCAGGTCAGTACTTCTGGCATTATGATAAGCTCAAATTCATCAGATGATTCAGATAAGTTAGACTTCATGATTGAGTTGTGGCAGAAATGTAATGACCCTAGTAATATTCTTGTGACTGGAGACTCTAGATCAAGTGTAAAAATAACTCGTTCGCAGATGCAACCTATGTTCAGCTATCTTTCATCACTGAGCCAGAATCTTCTGAAAAAAGTGATGGTTTATGTTACATCAACTTCATCAAAAAGATAGTGTATACCTGTATTTCTCATAATTTTATGTAGTGTAATTTTTGTCATATAAGGTTTGTAAAGTATACAAATACATGTTAATATGGTGAGATGGACTTAGAAAATTTAATGGGCAAAGTAGATATATGTAGAGTAAATCCTCTCATAACACAACCCTACATAGTGTGATGTTTGCTTAATGCCATTGCAAAATTGCAACATTTCTTTCATAATGTTAGGAACCTTATGTTATTGCTCTTCATAAATCTAAAGGAAAAAAAAAAAAAAAAAAAGGTAAGAAAATACTCATATAAGCTATGTGCAAAATTTGGACAGTAAACTATAATTTTACAATCCTCATGCTGGGCAGTAGGCTGGACTACCTGCATGATTTGTCTGTGATATGGCTATTAAAATTTAATCCCAGCAAATGAAAAGTTATGAAAATCAAGAGAAGGGCAAAGACGACTAGAAGCAGTATACAAACTTGGAACAAAGGCTGCAAGCCTCCCTGAAAGAGAAGAAAGAACCTGGGGTGAGATTAGACCCCCGAGCATCTTGCTTGAGGTACACCTTAACCAAATAACTTCTGCAGCAAATGTGAGACTGATAAATTTAAGAGTAACTTTCAGGAGCCTCAACAAGAGGCATTGTAACCCTATACATGGCATATGTCGGTCCCATCTTGGGGTATGCAGTGCCAGTATGAAACCCACATCTGATAAAGCATTTATTACACACTTTACAGAAGCTGGAAAAGTGCAAAGATTTGCAGCAAGACAAGGCCCAGAACTGAGAAGTATGACCTATGAGGACAGGCTAGAGGGGTTAAGCCTAATGTCATTAGAGGACAGAAGGCCTAGAGGTGACATGATTACAGCATACAAAATACTGAGATGATTTGACAAGGTAGACAGGGTGAGTCTATTGGGGTGGCAGACCTCAGGTACACTAAGGGCACAGCTAGAAATTGAAAAGAAAGAACAGTCACAGGGATGTTAGGAAACAACACTTGTCTAGTCTTAGAGTGGTCATGAAGTGGGACAACTTAAACAGTGAAGTGGTTAAAAGGCAGGATCTATATGTAGTTTTAAGAATAGGTATGACAGGGCTCATGTAACCAGGAGAGTGAACCCAGTAGCATACAATTTGGTAAGGAAATGTGCCTATCATATATATGTTTACATGTGCATGGTCTCCATGGGGAAGTGGAACAGAATCCTTCCTCCGTAAGCCATGCGTGTCGTAAGAGGCGACTAAAATGCCGGGAGCAAAGGGCCACCCCACCTCAGTGGGATACAGCTGGTACATTGAAAGAAAGAAGAATGTGCATGGTACCCTAGTATTGAGTTGATAAGCCTCTGTACATCTAACTAGGCCCAGCATGGTCACATGAACACACACTGTACATGTCTATGTCAGTGAGTAACATCTATTAGAATGTAAGGTAAGATCAGATTTATATTTGACATTAGGTTGTTTTAAAAAAAAAAAAAACTTTTGGCATTTTTCAAAGTGGTAAGAGTGTAACATTTGTAACTCTCCACAAGTTATTTTGCATTCAGTAACACTATTTTACATAGGATGACAATTTTGAGGAATGTATCCTGTGTTATGAGATGGTTTACCCTAGTGTGAAAGAGGACACAAGAAATCCATTTAATCAGAGATAATAAATTTAGAAATTCTGAGATATATTTCACAAAGGTTTATTTGAATGCTGCAGGAAGTTGATGTATATTTTTTAAGTGGGCATTTAACAATGCTGGTATTGCAGTTGAACTTTTTCCTCATTTTCAGTTAAGTCTAACTCTGTCTCGCATGAATGGTTCAGTTTTTACAAATAACATTTTCATTATTAACTTTGACCACTTGCAACATAGAATAAAAGAGTTGATAATGGTAAATGTATTATGGATAAACAATATTTTCTGTAGTTAAAAATATAAGGTGGGAATCATACAGTAGTAAAGAATTAATGACCTTTGAGTTTTATCTAATAATGCAGTATATAAGTCTCTCTATAAAATAAAGTATCTGTACTAAGACAAGAAGCCTGAAGAACTAGATGGAATAAGTAAAGTAACTAAATAATGTATATACATATGTATAAAGTGGTCAGTTTGAACACTGTTTTTGTTTTTGTGCTTGCATACATATATATCAATTTATGTATGTATATCATGTGTAACAACATTCTCACCCCCAAATGACTGGTACACGTTACCTTTTTTTTCCCCACAAATTTGATTAAATAAATTCATGCAAATATATATACTGTAAATAAAACTTGTGGGTATGATATAAGGTAATATAACTTAAGATGTATATACTGTATAGTATTGGTTTTTGAATGCAGTTTATACCACCCACATGAGGTGCAGCTCCTGGTTATTGGGAACAAGAATGTAAATGCAGTTAGCATACTGTATCCCTTAAATTATATTTCTAAAATGTTTCCCATTTTAACCATTTCAGGGTCCAGAGGCCAAATTTCAAAGTGTGCGCCAGGGTCCAAGAATTTAAAAAAAAAAATTTTGTTATATTTTCTTATGAAATGGTAGAGAATCTTTTTCTGAAGGTAATAAAACAAAGGGTACGAAATTTGATGGAAAATTGATGAAATTATACTCTCACGAATTTTGATGTGTCAGCGATATTTACGTATCGGCGATTTTACCGACATTGACTCCCATTTTAGGCCAATTATATTATTCCAGTCAACCAAATTCTTAGCTATTTCACTAGTATTACTTCTATTCTATCGATTGAGCACAAAAAATCGCCACGTCAACCATTTCAACTGCAAAATAAAATGATCGGAAATTGGTAATTTGGCCAATTTAACACAAAGTTCAAAATATTCCACTTTCAAAATAGGGTCCAGAATAAACACTGCAGGTATTCCTGGCACTGAAACTAACATTTCCTCTGTTCATTAATTATGTTTTCAGGCTTTACAAATGAATTCCATTTTGATTTTTTATTGGCCCTTGTGGTTTAGCACTTCTTTTTTATTTTAATAATAATAATAATAATAATTGATTTTTTTATTCAAACCAAAATTAGAAGATTTACTGTCATGTAATATTGTAATAATTGTATAAATAATATCACCACATTTGTGAACATATATTAGACCCACCAGCTGGCGTGTATTAGACGTATGAGGTCATTTGTTTACTCTTGAACATCGGCAAAAATTTAACATTTCCACTACTTTGAGCTCGGTTTCTAGTCATTTCCAGTACTAAAACCAAAATCATTATGTCTGTAATATATCTTCCATTCTATTGAATGAGACCAAGAAATTGCAAATACAACTATAAAAAAACATACTAAAAAACACTGCAAAGTCGCTGTTTTAGTCGAAAATTACGGTCTCAGTTTTTTCTCTCATTATGCACTGTGCTGCAGGATTTGTTTTAGGTGATGCACACATACCACATAGATGTATTCTCTCATATCTAGGCCTAAATTTACCGCTCACAACTTATCAGAGTGAGCTGAGCTCATGGCGTAGATCTACAGTTTGGACCCTCAACTCAAAGCCGTAGAACTATGGCATGGACCCTGAAAGGGTTAAGTGAGACTACTTGCAAAGTAACACAACAATGACACGGTGGAAGTAGATGTCTATCTGGGGTTCAGATATACACATGACAAGACTCAATCATGTTCATCAAAACTTAGGAGGCTGGACCAAGAGCTTGAGCTTCCTATGCCTCCTTCACCACTCCATGTTCAAACTCAAATTCAAACACCATATACCATATTTTGTGGCAAACAAGATGCTCAGTGTCATGGAGTACCCCCCACCCCCCACCCATTCTGACTGCCTAAATTTTGGAGAAAAGATAAACAGTATTTCAACCTCCAAGATACTGGGTAAATAAAAAAAAAAAATAGCATCTTCAATGCTGTAAAATACCACATGTGGAATTTCCTTAAGTTTATTGGCTATAATTTGTGCACAGCCTGTCACTAATTTGTCATAAAAAGGCCTTCTACAGCCTCTCCTCACTTAACGACGGAGATAGGGGCCTAAGACCCCATTGGTAAATGATTTCGTGGCTAATCGAGGAATGACCCTTTACTGACACTTCCAAAGTGTCACCACCCAAAATTAAAACATTCAGTTTTATGTTTGTTGGGAAATTCCTTTCAATCTGTTTATTATCAATGGTAATACAGCATGAAAAAGGTCAATGACTTACTTCCAAGATATTTTAGGAAACATGCATAGCTGATTACTTGCTTTTTTTTTTTTTTTCAAGAAAATTGCACTTTTTTTCAGGGTAAGAGTGATCTTCTATAGTTACCCTTCAGGTGTGTAACGTTTTCTGTATTGGTTGCAGTCACTTTTTTTGTTTGTTTGTTTTTATCCCTCTCTGCCCTCCACCCTTCAATGCCTCTCTATATAATGTAAGTTTTTATTAATTTGGGCATCTTTATCATGCTTCTACATTATTTATGTTTTTTTTTTTTTTTAACAAATTGGCCGTCTCCCACCGAGGCAGGGTGACCCAAAAAGAAAGAAAAAATCCCCAAAAGAAAACAATTTTCATCATCATTCAACACTTTCACCTTACTCATACATAATCACTGTTTTTGCAGAGATGCCCAGAACACAACAGTTTAGAAGCATATACGTATAAAGATACACAACATATCCCTCCAAAATGTCACTATTCCAAACCCCTCCTTTAAAGTACAGGCATTGTACTTCCCATTTCCAGGACTCAAGTCCGGCTATATAAAAATAACCGGTTTCCCTGAATCCCTTCACTAAATATTACCTTGCTCACACTCCTAATATTATTCTGGAATAAATATGATAGGTATATAACCTTTATTGATAGTAATGGTATAATTGTACAGTGGACCCCCATCCTACGATATTAATCCGTTCCTGAGAGCCCATCGTAAGATGAAATGATCGTAGGTTGAATTAATTTTTCCCACAAGAAATAATGGAAATCAAATTAATCCGTTCCTGACACCCCAGAGTATGGAAAAAAAAATTTACCACATGAAATATACATTTTCCTACACACACAAATAAGGAGACATGCATAAAAACTATTATTGTGTAATGAACAATAAATGACGCTTACCTTTATTGAAGATCTGCTGATGAGTGATGGGATGGGAGGAGGGGAGATGATGTAGGTTATTTTTTGGAAGGGGAATCCCCTTCCATGAGGACTTTAGGTAGCATGTCCTTTTCTGGGGTTACTTCCCTTCTTTTAATGCCACGGGGAACAACTTGACAGTCACTGGACCTCTGTCGCACCACAAATCTTTCCATAGAGCTCTGTACCTCTCGTTCACAACATCGTCATTGTAATAGTCACCAGCACGGCTTGCAGTAGCTGTGTGAGGGTGATTTTCATCCATAAAGGTTTGCACTTCAACCCACTTTTCACACATTTCCTTAATCTTTGAAGAAGGCAACTTCTTCAATTTCTCTCTCCCCTCCTCTGAAGCAGTTTCCTCAGGTCTGGCCTCTTGCTGTTGCAGATGCTCTTGCAGCTCATCAGTGGTAGTTCTTCATCGTCCTCCTCCACCAACTCTTCCACATCCTCCCCACTAACCTCCAACCCCATGGACTTCCCCAGTGCCACAATAGATTCCACAACTGCCATAGGCTCCTGAGGGTTAGCCCCAAACCCTTCAAAGTCCCTCTGTTCTACACATTGTGGCCACAATTTCCTCCAAGTAGATTTCAAGGTCCTCTTAGTCACTCCCTCCCAAGCCTTACCTAAAAGGTTTACACAACTGAGGATACTAAAGTGATCTTTCCAAAACTCTCTTAGGGTCAATCGAGTGTCTGAGGTCACTTCAAAGCACTTTTGAAACATAGCTCTTGAGTAGTTTTTTGAAGTTGGAAATGACCTACTGGTCCATGGGCTGGAGGAGAGGAATGGTATTAGGAGGCAAAAATTTAACCTTGATGAAGCTCATGTCCCCAGAAATTCGCTCTGCCAAGTCTGAAGGATGACCAGGAGCATTGTCTAATACCGGGAAGCACTTAAGGTCCAATTTATTTTCCAGGAGGTAATTTTTCACAGTGGGGGCAAACACATGGTGAAACCAGTCATAGAAAAAGTCTCTAGTGACCCATGCCTTACTGTTTGCCCTCCACATCACACACAAATTAGCCTTGAGGACATTGCTTTTCCTGAACACTCTGGGAGTTTCAGAGTGATACACCAATAAAGACTTCACTTTGCAATCACCACTAGCATTACCACACAACAAAAGAGTAAGCCTGTCTTATAAGCCTGTGTATAAGCCTGTCTTTCATAGGCTGAGTAATGTAGGTCCTGTTTGGCATTTTCTTCCAAAACAGGCCTGTTTTGTCACAATTAAACACTTGTTCAGGTTTCAATTCTTCAGCTTCTATGTACTCCTTGAATTCCTTCACATATTTTTCAGCTGCTTTTTGGTCCGAACTGGCAGCCTCACCATGCCTTATCACACTATGTATGCCACTACAATTCTTAAATCTCTCAAACCAACCTTTGCTGGCCTTAAATTCACGCACATCACCACTAGTTGTAGGCATTTTTTTAATTAAATTGTCATGCAACTGCTTTGCCTTTTCACATATGATCACGTGAGAGACACTATCTCCTGATAACTGTTGTTTGTTTATCCACGCCAATAACAGTCTCTCAACGTTTTCGAGCACTTGCAATCTGTGTTTCATAAAGATACTTGCACCTTTTGCAACAACAGCTTCCTTGATTGCCTGTTTGTTGGCCAGGATAGTAGAGATGGTTGATTGGGGTTTGTTGTACAACCTGGCCAGCTCAGAGGCACACACTCCACTTTCTTACTTATTCATTATCTCCTCCTTCATTTCAATAGTAATTTTCACCCTTTGTATCACAGGGTTGGCATTAGAAGCTTTCTTTGAGCCCATGGTGGCTTATTTAGCAGTTAGAAGCACTAAAAACACTTTAATAATAGAAAATGTTCTGAATCTATGCGTGTGAGCGACCGCTCTGGGTTGTAAACGATGGCACACTAACTGAAGGCAGGCCAGCTGAGGTGCGCTCAGGCCGGACATACATGTGGATGCATTCCGGACGAATGCTGTAGGTCGAATTTTTCAACGTACATCGAGGTCAAATTTTTACGCTGAAATGCATTGTAGGTCGGTTTTAACCTAGGTTGGGGACATCATATGTCGGGGACCACTGTACAATATTTTATAGATAGTGCCGTGAGCTTACACATCCGTACATCATGGTGAAGCATGACTTACTGAGACACACTGCTGGTGCCTTCTCCCTGTCTCTCGTATAGCCCCAGCCCAGCACACCCTCCAATACCTCTCCATATACAGTGGAACCTTGGCTTACAAATTTCATCCGTTCCGTGGACTTGTTCGTACCCTGATTTGTTTGTATGCTGGGTCAATTTTCCTCATTTAAATTAACTGAAATGCAATTACAGTGGACCCTTAACTAACGGCGGCATCAAATAATGGCAAATTCGTCTAATGGCGCTCTTTGGCATAAAAAAATGGCTCTACCAACTGCAAAAAACTCATCTAACGAAGTTCGTCCCGAACTTGTCCATGGGGCTGGAGCGCGGCCTGAGCAGCTCCAGCCACTCCACGACTCCATGTACAGCCAGTGTGCCAGTGTTTACAAGCAGTTTCGGTTGACTCTAAGTGTACCTGCGATATATTTTGTATTCCAGTGTTTTTAGTGCTTGTAACCGCTAAATAAGCCACATGGGCCCAATGAAAGTTTCTAGTGCCAGCCCTATGATAAAGAAGGAAAAAAACAATAAAATTCAAGAAAAAACTCAGCAAAGCACCAAAGTGGAGGAGGAAGAGAGAGAGGGGAGAATGTGCCTTCTGCAGTGATTCATTGATTCTATGATATGTATGATACTTATGTAGCAGGTATCGATAAAGGCTATAGTGCTAGCCAGCGATAAAGTGTAGAATTAACAGTGTAGCAAGTAAGTTAAGCAAGCAAGCGATAGAAAAACGACACGAAAGTAACTCTCCAATGTTGTTGGATGTGTGTACATCCGCTGAACATACACCGGCCTGCTATCTTCCACTACCCTAAACCTCTGCAAGCATCTCCTCCATGAAACTAACTAATTAAACTAACATCTCCAAGGTAAGTGTAAATATAAAAGTGTAAGCATAAAAGTAAATATATTAAGTAAGTATAAAAGGACCCCAATGGAAATGCGTAAATCACTCCGACTTTTTTGGGTTATCCTAGGTACTTTACACATATGCTGCTGTGTATCATAATCTATGTAACTATTTGTGTATACCTGAATAAACTTATTTATAAATTAAAATGTAAATATTTCTTATTTATACGCTGTATAGTCCTTGTGGCTTAGCGCTTCTTTTTTATTATAATAATAATTCTTATTATTATCACTGATTTCATCATTGCTTAGTTAATCTTAAGTTAATTTTAAGCCAGCCCGTAATGCTATGCATATAAGTGGCTTTGGCATGCTGCTCTTAACTGTATTTTTTGTACCTCTGTATGTATGCTTAAATTACTAAATAAATAAATAAATAAATAAATAAATAAATAAATTTATAAATTACATTGGCTTAGCGCTTCTTTTTGATTATAATAATAATATAAATTACATACATTGTTTAAGTGTGATGGTGGTGCTGACAGAAGCCTCCACCGCCACCAACATGGCTTCTCTCAGTGGTTTCCCTTAAACTCAACAATAACACTTAAACCATTTACTCCTCTCATACATTATGGCAAATTTTATTCATTCTAGAGTATATATCATGTTTCTATGTTATTAATATTGTTTATAATGTCACATTAGATGAATTGTGATAGAAAATAAGCCATAGAGATGAGATTAGCATCATATTGAAGCATAATAAACTTGTCTTCCTTTTGCCTCCTACGTGTCTTGTCATACACCAACATTATGACATATTTTATTCATTTTAGAGTATGTATCATGTTTCTATGTTATTAATATTGTTTATAATGTCATATTAAATGAATTGTGATAGATAAATAAGCCGTAGAGATGATATTAGCGTCATATTGAAGCATAATAAACTTGTCTTCCTCTTGCCTCCTAAGTGTCTGTCATACACCAACAAGTCGAGTCAGTAAAGATAAGTCAATAAAGGTAAGTGTGATGTTAAATATTCATTTATCCATTTTATTAGTGCTTTATATTTATTTGTCATTTTTTCTGTATGTATAGTATTTATATTTAATCTTTAAAAAAATTTTTTTTTTCATACTTTGGGGTGTCAGGAACGGATTATTTCTATTTCCATTATTTCTTATGGGGAAAATTAATTCGACCAACGGCAAATTCGACTAATGGCAAGCTCTCTGGAACGGATTAATGCCGTTGGTTGAGGGGTCCACTGTAATTCGTTCCAGCTGAGTTCCTGCTCTCAGGAGGCATGACAAAATAACCCTATTATCAACTCTACGGCTTATTTATCTGTCACAATTCATCTAATTTGACGTAATAAACAATATAAATAACATAGAAACCTGATATACACTCTAGAATGAATAAAATATGTCATTACATGGACAGCGGAGGGAGGAGGATTGTGGTCACGAGAGTGGTTGCGCATTCTCGCTGTGAAAACATCAGAGGTGTTATTATAAGAGAAAACAGAGTTTGTGAGGCTGAATTAGATCTGGTGTACATACGATATTTACACTTTTCTTAAGAATTATCTCGCTACACTACGTATCTCCTGTGAGCTGTTTCTCTGCCAACCATGTCAACAGCAGCTTTTCCATCTTTTCATTGACAGAGGTCTGCTGCTTTTAAATTACTGTAATGCCCTTTGCTGGCACTATAGCCTTTATAGACTCCCTCTGCTTTAGTATTGTACATATAGTAGAGGGGCTACGCTTGTACTCACTCGCTAAGTCTTTAACCCTTGTACCTAGTCTTTGCTTATCAATGATTTCTTGCTTTAATTCCATGCAAATCGTCCTCTTTTTCTTCTGGGCACTGTCCTTATCACTTGCTTTCTTCGGACCCATGATTAGAAGAAAGAAATCTGGCGGCTTAACTGCACAAAACGTAAGGAAATCACAAGAATTCTTTGCACCGCGAGGGCAGCTCCGTAAGCACATGTGTAAGTAAGTAAGTAAGTTTATTCAGGTATACACAAATACAGTTACATAGAATTATCATACATAGCAGCATATGTGTAGAGAACCTAGGATAACCCAAAAAAGTCAGACAGAGTGACTTATTTCCATTGGGGTCCTTTATATTTCCATTGGTGACCATTGTGGTGGTGTTGTCAAACTAAATTATACGCAGTATGTACATATTATTATTCTTTCTTCCAACACACCGGCCATATCCCACCGAGGCGGGGTGGCCCAAAAGGAAAAACGAAAGTTTCTCCTTTTACATTTAGTAATATATACAGGAGAAGGGGTTACTAGCCCATTGCTTCTGGCATTTTAGTTGCCTCTTACAATGTGCATGGCTTATGGAGGAAGAATTCTGTTCCACTTCCACATGGAGGTAAGAGGAAATAAACAAGAACAAGAACTAGAAAGAAAATAGAAAAAAACCCAGAAGGGTGTGTATATATATGCTTGTACATGTATGTGTAGTGTGACCTAAGTCTAAGTAGAAGTAGCAAGATGTACCTGTAATCTTGCACATTTATGAGACAGAAAAAAGGACACCAGCAATCCTACTATCATGTAAAACAATTACAGGCTTTCGTTTTACACTCACTTGATAGGAGGGGTTTAGTACCTCCCTGGGCGGTTGCTGTCTACCAACCTATAACATATCATTACCTATAATATATCATTATTATTATAATTATTATTATTGTACTATTACGTATTATATTATATTTTTTTTTTTTATTATATTATTATATTATATGTAATTATTATTACGTATTATTATCATTATTATTAGTATGTACATATTATTATAATAATTATTATAACAATAATAATACAATGTACTAGTAATAATAATAATAGTAAGGAGAAACTTCAAAAGGCTGCTAGTAGTTGGCACCACCATCAGCAAAACATTCGTAACCACAACTAGTACACTTTTCACCTGTCTAGACTTCAGTAGTCTATTAGTATTAGGTTATGTCTTCCTAAAATGCCTCAGCATGATAGTGGCTTTCTTTGCTCCACTCATATTATGATATGTAAACACACATTGTAACCTTTGCAAAGAAAAAAATATTTTTATTTATTTATTTAACCCCTTGACTGTTGCAACCCCTTATCCTGAGGTCTCTCCTGGTGTCGCAAAAATTAAAAAAAAAATTATTTTTTCTTATGAAATGATAGAGAATCTTTTCCTGATGGTAATGAAACCAAAAGTACAAAATTTGATGGAAAACTTACAGAATTATGCTCTCACGAAGTTAGCGACCTTGGCAATATTTACGAATCGGCGATTTCGCTTACTTTGAGCCCTATTTTCGGCTAATTCCGTTGTTCCAGTCGACCAAACTCACAGCTATTTCTTTAGAACTCCATTTTTTCTATCAATTGAGTACAAGAAACTGCCCATTTACTAATTTCAACTACCCAATAACATGGTCAGAAATTTACAATTTGGCCAATTTCACGAAAATTAAAAAATATGACAATTTCAAAATAGGGTCCAGAATGAACAATGCAGACATTCCTGGCTCTAAAATAACATTTTCTTTGTTCATCGGTCATGTCTCCAGGCCCCTCTGATATTACTCTTGCTTTCTATTTTTAATTTTTATTCAAACAAAAAATATAAGATTTACTGTTATACAGACTACTGCAATATTGTAATAATTGTATAAATAATGTCAACCCATTCATGACTGCATATTAGAATGGCTAGTTGGACATTTACTGGGCAATGACATCATTTGTTTACTTTCGAACATTGCAAAAATCAAACATTTCCCCTACTTTGAGCTCCATTTCAAGGTTCTTCCACAAATTCAGCATTTTAATTAAAAAAAAATGGTCAGAGTTTTTTTTTCTCATTATACACTGTGTGCTGCAGGACTTTTTTTATACGGTGCACACTGACCACACACACCCATTCTCTCACATGTGAGCCTACCAGCTTTCTCCTGCTTGATTTGAAGCTGCTAGAATTTGAGTATGTACGTATACGTCAAACACGGTGGCTTGTAAGACGTATATATACGACCAAAACAGTCAAAGGGTTAAGGAACCTCCTTTGAGGAGTAAGTTTGCATCCTGAAATTTCCTTTGTATCCAGAAGCAAAAAATCGACCAAACGACGGTTCGTATCCTGAAAAATTCACATGGAGCATTTGTAAGCCGAGGTTCCACTGTATGTCAGTTTTTATTAGTTTGGGCCTCTTTATCATGCTTCTACGTTATTTATTCAAGATTTTTATTCATCCATGGCTTGTCGTAAATGTTTCTGTTGATTCCTCACCTTCTCCTGCCTTCAGAGTCTCAAAGGTACTGCATGCCTTGGCTTGAATAATTAAAAGGCTCATCTTCATTCTTTTTTGTATCTGATCATCAAGCCAGATTGCCAGTAATTTCTCCATTTCATGAATGAGGCCTTTCTGTTGCCTAGCTTTATGGCTTGAAATCCTGTCGATACTTTCACTGCCTCTTTCACTCTATCTTTATCATTCAAAATAGTGGAAATGGTAGAATGTGCCAGCTTCAAGTCATCGGCTATCACTTGTACTTCTTACCAGCTTCATACTGTTTATAAACTTCATTTTCACTCAAAATCAAGAGCCTTCCTTTGTTTCTTAGCTCTTCCTTCAGGTGAAGTCGAGATCTTCCCTTTTGCCGACTTTTGTACTATTTGGGGTGCACAATAAAGTGCAAATTTATACATATATGTATCTTGGAGACAGTTGAAAGCAGTGTACATGAGTAGTGTAGAAGGAGTCTGAGATATTGAACATTGAGATGCTGCTTTTGGCCTGTATGTCACATGTATTTTGTACAGGTTTGGTAGCTGACATTTAAACACTCCAGAGCAATTTTTATTATATTAACCATCCACATACCTTTTTCCCACGAATTTAATCATTTTTTTAAGCTCCACGAAGACAAAATGTAATTTAATAATAATTTAATAATTAATAATTTTAAATAATCATAATAAACCAATTGCTCTGGATGCTTTAAAATGTCAGCTACCAAACCTAAACAAGATACATAATACTTAAATGCCCCAGATGATATTAATTATATTTAAAAATAATAATAATAAAATATAATTTTAACAATAAAATATAATTAATAATCATCTGGGCGCTTTTTTTTGTTATACGTACCCTTTATAGTTTGGTACTGACAATTAAAGCACTCCATACGTATTTCTATCATCATTATCAATCATCATTATCATATCTTTCATTATCAATCATTATCAATCATATCAATCATCATTATCAATCATCATTAATCATCATCATAAATTTCATCATCATCAATCATCATCATCAATCATCATCATCATCAAATCATCATCAATCATCATAAATCACCCAATCATCATCAATCATCACATCATAAATCATCATCATCAATCATCATCTCATAAATCAATCATCATCATCATCATCATCAACATAAATCATCATAAACATCAACATGACCAACCGACCTTGTTCACTGAGCTTAAATAATTTCTTAATGAAACTGCCACGAAGAGACCGAGAATGTAAACACAGGAACACACCAGCTAAACCCCTTTACTGTGACTTCTTTTGTACTTCTTCTGTTTTTCCTCTCTTTCCTCTTCCAAGTGCTGCTGCACTTCTATCTTGTACTATGGGGTGCACAATCAAGTACAAATTTGTACAAATATGGTGTCTTGGAGACTTTAATAGCTAGTGTAGCGAGTGGCTGTAAGAAGGAGATTGAGATGCTTGATGCTGAGACAATGCGCTGCCAGTTTCCGTGACCCAAGTTCTCATATGGCATAAAATACTGTCTCATCTGAGAGCCTGTCGTAACTCCGAGTTGTCGGGTAAACGAGTAAGTCAGTAAGTGAGGAGAGGCTGTATTATTTTAATGATTCAGTTTTTGATTGATTACATTTGTCTAAACATTTGAGACTATTATTTAATTTAGCTGGTCAAATTGAGTAAAAAGGGAATGTACTGCATTGAGTAAGGTAATTAGTATTCAGCATCTCCAAGATTGCACCTTTCTTTACCATCTACAGTGATTTATTGACAAAGTGATTATCCCCATTTTTATGAAAAAATCAGAAACTTATGCTGACCTGTTTTAATGATGATGAGTGTTTCTTTTGGGTCACTGTAATTACCTTGGTAAGAGATGGCCTGTGTGTGTGTGTGTGTGTGTGTGTCTTTCCACCTAATTGTGGTTGCAGGGGGCGAGACTCAGCTCCTGGGCCCCGCCTCTTTACTGATCGCTACTAGGTCCTCTCCCACTCTGGGTTCCTGAGCTTTGTCATTTCCTCTTCTTTAAACTATTTTATGGTTCCTGCTCCACTACTTCACTTTCTAGGCTTTCCACTTTTCCCGACGACTTGACTGAAGAAATACTTCCTAACTCCCTGTGACTCGTCTGAGTCTTCAGCTTCCAATTGTGACCCTTGTTTCTGCGTCCCCTCTCTGTAACATCCTGTCTCTCTCCACCTTTTCTATTCCCCGCAGTATCTTGTATGTCCCTTATCATGTCTCCCCTGACCCCTTTTGTCCTCCAGTGTCGTCAGTCCAATTTCCCTCAACCTTTCCCCGTACGACATTCCCCTGAACTCTGGAACAGCCTTGTTGCAAACCTCTGTTTCTTTCTATAACTTCTTGACATGCTTGACCAGGTGTAGGTTCCAGATGGTGCTGCATACTCCAGTATGGGCCTAACACACAGTGTACAGTGTCTTGAACGATTTCCTCATTAAGGTATCGGAATTTCTATTCTCAGGTTTGCCAGGCGCCCGTATACTGCAGCAGTTGTTTGGTTGATGTGTTCTCCGGTGACGTGCTCGGTGTTATGGTCACCCCAAGATCTTTCTCCCTGAGTGAGGTCTGTAGTTTGTCCACCTAGCCTATACTCTGTCTGCGGTCTTCTTTGTCCCTCCCCAATCTTCATACTTTACATTTGGCAGGGTTGATTCGAGAACCCATTTTTCGGGCCCCACGTGTCCAGCTGTCCGGTCTTTTTGCGTCTCCCTCACCCTTTCATCCTTTTAATTCTTTCATCGCTTCAATCATCTGGAATAGGGAACTTCAGGTCTGTTCCTTCCATCATGTCTTCGCTAAAACAAAAATAGCCTTTTCCCTAGACGCCCCCTGTGGGACCCCACTCTCACAGGCCCCACTGTGATACCTCTTCACGTCCCATGTCTTGTTCCCCTCCCTGTCAGGATTCCCTGATCCATTGCAGTGCCCTCATGTTTATGTGCTATCCCCAGTTTTCGCACTAATTCTTGTGAGGAACTGTGTAAAGGCCCCCTGCAGTCCAGGAAAATGAATAAACCCACCCCTCTCTCTGTTTTACTTTGTTCCCTTGTCAAAAAACTCCAAAAGGGTTTATGACACGGATTTCCCCTTCCATGAATCCATGCGGTTTTATTTTAATTTGTTCCGTTCCAGTTGTTCCACCATCTCCTCCTGAAAAACTTTCCTGACTTTGCATACTAACATGTCAAGAGACGGGGGTAGGTGTGTTTTTGTGTGTGTGTGTTTGTGTGTGTGTGTGTGTTTTGGTTTGTGTGTACTCACTAGTTGGGTTGCAGGGGTGAGTCCAAGCCCCTGGCCCCCCCTTTTCCGGGTCGACTAGGTTACTCCCCCTAAAAACCGTGAACTTTTTCTACCTCGTTTAAAGCTTGTAGGGGATCCCCCCTTCTACATGCTTCCCAAAAAACTTTTTCCACTTCCGATGCTCTTGACTGGAAAATTTCCCTAACCCCTGTATTATCGTTTTTCAATTTCCCAACTGTTCCCCTTGTTGCTGTGCCCCATCCTGGAACATTCTGTTTTTTTCCACCTTGTAAATTCCTCTCTATTTTGTATGTCGTTATATGTCCCCCCTATCCTCTCCTGTCCCCCAGGTCGCATGTCGATCCCCCTTCCCCTCCTTGTGGGACATCCCCTTACTCGGGGATGTCTTGTTGCAAACCTCTTTTTCTTTTCTTTTTCTTTATGTGCTTTGGCTTTTTTGTGGGTTCCAAACGGGTCCCACTCCCCAAATATGGGCCTAACGTACACAGGTACGGGGGTCCTAAAACGTTTCCCTTATTAGATGTCGGAATGCTGTTGAGGTTTCTAGGCCCCCATAGCTGCAGCGTTATTTGGTTGTGTGCGCTTCGGGAAGTCCCTGGTGTTATACTCGCCCCAAGATTTTTTTTCTTGAGTGGGTTTGTAGTCTTTGCCCTCTTGACTGTACTCTGTCTGCGGTCTTTTTTGCCCTTCCCAAATCTTCGACTTTGCACTTGGTGGGGTTGAACCCAGGGCCAATTGTGACCGGTTGCCCCTGTCTGACCCCTTTGTAGTTCTCCCTGGTCTTCAATCAAATAATTCTTCTCATCAATTTGCTTTTGAAAACAGGGACACTTGGAGCCTTTTCCTTCCGTCATGTCTTTCACAAATACCGAAAACAGCACTGGTCCAGGACGACCCCTGTGGGCCCCCGCTGGTCAAGGCGCCCGTCTGACCCCCTCACCACGTACCATGGCTTGCTGCTGTTTTCCCGAAAGTATTCCCTGATCCATGTAGTCCCTTCCCCTATTACCCTGCTGTGTGTGTGTGTGTGTGTGTTGTGTGTGGTGTGTGTGTGTTTTGTGTGTGTGTGTGGTGTGTGTGTGTGTGTGTGTGTGTGTATACCTATTGTGGTTGCAGGGGTCGGACTCAGCGCTGGCCCCGCCTCTTCACGATCGCTACAGGTCATCTCTTTGCTTTGAGCTTTGTAACCCTCGTTTTTAAAGTATGTTGGTTCCTGCCCCCACTACATCAAAACTAGGTATTCACTTCCGATGAAATTGTGACTTAAAAAATACTTTCTAAATCCTGTGACTCGTCGGTCTTTAGCTTCCCAATTTTGACCCCTTTTTCGTGTCCCTTCTGGGGCATCCTGTGTGTGTGTGTCTGCTTGTGTTGTCCTGTGGGGGAGTGTCTGTGTATGTTTTTTCTTCTATTCTCTTCCTTGTGAGAAGAAATGGAAATTTAAAA